CATCCTACTTCCATAAAGATTTACTGCCTCGGAAACCCAAAGGGGTGGCACTATGAATTAGAATCAACTTGATGGCAGTGAGGTTTTTTATTGTCAGAGAAGGAGTCCCTGGGTGGTGCAAACAGCTAACAAACTCGGTTGCTAACCAAAAGTTTGTAGGTTCAAGTCCACCCAGAGAGATAGCTTGGAAGAAAGGCCTGGTGATCTACTTCTGAAAAACCAGCCATTGCAAAACCTGTGGAGCATGATTCTACTCTGACACACATGGGATTGCCAAGAGTTGGAATTAACTCAATGACAACTGGTTTTATAAACAGAAAACCCCACATTTAATACTTGCTACAAATGGATAAAATCAGTCCTTCATACTGGACTGATTTGTTACCTAATCAAATTCTGAGATGTTTCCATAACGATGGAGTTGTAAAAAGTTCCAAGGTTAGAATCATAGAGCTTAGAAGAGCCTTACAGATCACTCACGTCAAGACCTTTGATACATAGATGAGTAAGCAGTTCTAGAAAGAGGATGTCTCATAGCTAGATCTTTTGTACAACTGATGGAAAGTGATGAGTAAATTATCATGGGCTAATATATACAAAAATGAGATTTATATTTGTATACTTTTAGATATTTTTCTAGAAATAATTTACCTTCAAAGTGAATTGAAAATACACTTACAAATGAATAGAGAAGTAACACAGTGGTTCTTATGTCATATTCCAGTTAACCATGATTTCCTCAAGCAGTCCTGAATTTAGGGAAGTAGTTGGTTCAACATTTAATTGAGAAAACAAGTGTCATTTCTACTTAATGTTCTTAGTAAATATCTAAGGGAACATTAGGGAATAAAGCCAGGGAATATCTACAGTGAAAAGTAAGAGGACTTTAAAACCTCTGTGTGAAGTGTATTGAAACTCACACGTTTTTTTTTTTTAATTTGTTGAGATTTGAAATCCTTTTTTTTCCCCCATGTATGAAAACCAGTTTTATTTTCTCAGTAGACACCTAATAAGATTTTCTCCCCGCATAAGGTATAATCTACTTCTATTAGAAAGATGTTTTAGAAGTTGGTTTACAATAGTGTTACTCTCTGCAGGACTGCTTGTATTTGGGGATGATAAAGATGGATCCAGAAATATTACTTTGAGGACTCGTTACATTCTGATCAAGGATGGTGGGGCGCTTCATATTGGAGCAGAAAAATGCCGCTATAAATCCAAAGCGATGATTGCCTTGTATGGCAAGTCAGATGAAGGTGAAGGTATGCCAACATTTGGCAAAAAATTTATTGGTGTGGAAGCTGGTGGGACACTGGAGTTGCACGGGGCACAGAAGACATCATGGACGTTGCTGGCGAGGACTCTGCATTCCTCAGGCTTGACGTTTGGGTCCTACGCCTTTGAGAAGGACTTTTCCCGGGGCCTCAATGTGAGGGTCATTGACCAAGACACAGCCAAAATTTTGGAAAATGTAAGATTTGATACTCACGAATACCAAAATGAGAGCAAGCGACTTCAGGAATTTTTGAGAGTCCAGGATCCAGGGCGAATTGTTGCTATAGCTGTTGGAGATTCAGCAGCTAAAAGCCTCTTACAAGGAACTATAGAGATGATCCAGGACCGGTTGGGAAGTAAGCTGATCCAAGGACTAAGCTACAGGTACGCATACTTTTTTCCCCCCTTTTCAGCTGTGTATTTAGTCCGTGTCTGTATGAGAGGAGAGGGAAGGAAGGAAAAGATAGCACAGCACATCACAGGTGCCGGAGCAGCCACAACTATTTGTAGGTCAGGTTGCCCCTCCCTTTGAAATATGAGAATGGAGGCCAGGGTATGGGATGCAAAAGCTCTTCTCTGGGCTTTGGATTTTGAAGTCCTTTGCACACTGTGCTGATAGTCTTGTGCAAAGTTAAGAACAGAAATGCGGTGTTGAAAAGCAGTTATGCAGTTTAAGAACAACTTACTCTGAAGGTACTTGCTCCTTTCGTTATCTTCTGAAGGTAATATGAAACTTAGGCTAACTGAGACTTCTGTAGTGATACCACTTCGGAAACCCAAAGAAGGGCCGCTATGAGTCGAGTTGAATCTGACTCATAGTGACCCCCCCCCCTTGGGTTTCCCAGGCAGTATCACTGTGGAAGTAGATTGCCTAACCTTCCTTCTGAGGAGTGGCTGGTGCGTTTGAACCGCCAGCCTTCTGGTTAGCAGCCAAGTGCCTTAGGCACTACACCACCGGAAGTCCTGTTGTTACTTGTAGTGCTTGCTTATTTTCTTTGCTGTATATTTTCTGTTGCATGTATTTATTACAGTTTATTCACTGCTATACATCTGGGTGAGTTGTTTGTCAGCTGGGCCTATTATAAAAAATGCTTCTTTGAATGTTCCAATCTCTTGGTGCACATGTGCACATATTTCTATAATTTATGGACCTAGAAGTGTAAGCATGGTCTTTTCAGATTTAGAGACCTAACTTTATTTCATTATCCAGTAATGGCAGGGATTAAATTTTGTTTCTTTATGTTAATATTGTTTCTAGTTTGTGAATATTTTGTTTGAATTTGTTCCTTGGTTCCTTTTCCTGCTGCTTTAGAAATTCCCTTTAAAATATTGCTGCAGATTTGAGGGAGGAGTTAAAGAGTTGGGATCCTTTGCCAATGTTCCTTTGTGTTGGCATTATCTCTAATGTACCTAAACACATAATCCTTTGAAGATAATATTCTAGTGCATTGAAATTTTTCTCAATTGGAGGAGGGAAGTAGGAGTGTTTTGGAGATAATGTCAATAGAATAAAACATTGTCTTCTAGTTCCTGAGGCAGTTCTGGTAAATAAAAGAAGCCTCTGGTGTTCTGCCTCTCCTTCCCTCTCAAAGAGAAGACAATAAATTGAGACATTTTTCATTTGATTCTTTGTTATCTAAAGGGATATAAATAGAGCTATAAAGCTTTGCCAGCCAAAGAGTAGCTAATCCACGCGGGGGCGAGTGTGGAATTTATGAGTGTAGGCATGCTTTGGTTAGCTTTTATCTGTGCACATCCAGCCATCTGTCTGGCATAGATTACGTTTGGTAATTTTTTCTAGGGTAGGAAGTTGACATTTTTCTTTTCATGTTTTAAACCAGGAAACTTAAGGCAAATTTTGTGGTTTTTTGTCCTTGTCCTTTCTCTTTGATTGATTTGGCCACAAGCTGGAGCAAGTCCCTGGAATGTTTAGAATCACAGAAATAAAATGATGTTTTCAACCACATTGCTTTCAATAAATAAATATATAGCATGTGAAAGTTAAACATCTTTTGGATAGTGATTTTATCTTTTTGATAAAAATGTTAAGAAACCTCTAACCCAGTGTTTCTGCCTTGGCGGCAACCTGGGAGACTTACAAATCCAATTCCCAGGTCCCACTTTAGACCAATTACAGCAGGATCTGGAGGGCCCCATACCATTAAAGTGCAGTGAAGCTTGAGAACTACTGTTCTAAAGTTTAGCCTTTAGCTTAAACCAAAACAACCAAACTCATTGCCATCAAGTTGATTCCAACTCATAGCGACCCTCTTTGGCTTTTTGAGGCGGTAAATCTTTACAGAAGTAGATTACCCCATCTTCCTTCTGTGGAGCAGCTGGTGGGTTTGAACCACCAACCTTCTGGTTAGCAGTCAAATGCCTTAGGCACTGCACCACCAGAGCTGCTCCCACTGCCATCAAGTCAGACCCGACTCATAGTGACCCCTCATTGGGTTTCCAAGGCAGTATCACTATGGAAGTAGGTTGCCCAGCTTTCATTCTGAGGAGTGGCTGGTGGGTTTGAATCACCAGCCTTCTGGTTAGCAGTCAAATGCCTTTGGCACTAAGCCACCAGAGCTCCTTCAGAGCTACTCAGGGCTTCTCAAATCAGAAAAAAATGAGTATTACCTGGGTGCTTGTTAGAAATGTAAATTCTCAAGCTCCACCTCAGAAACTCAAGGGTAGAGCCTGGCAAGCTTGTTGTAACAAATCCTCCAGGTGGTGCTGATGCCTGCTCAAGTTTGATGTTATGTTGTTGTTATGTGCCGTCAAGTCAGACCCGACTCATACCGACCCCTGCTTGGGTTTCCGAGGCAGTGTCATTACTGAAGTAGATTGCCCCATCTTCCTTCCGAGGAGTGGCTGGTCGGTTTGAACTGCCAGGCTCTGGTTAGCAGTCAAGTGCCTTAGCCACTATGCTGAGCTCCTGTTCAAGTTTGATAACCGCTGTTTTTAACTCAATGACTATTAAGTCACCTGTAAAACCAAAACCAAACTCACTGCCACTGAGTCAATTCAACTCATAGTGACCACCTCTCATGGGTTTCCGAGGCGATATCTCTGTGGAAGTATATTGCCAAGTCTTCCTACTGAGGAGTGGCTGGTAGGTTTGAACCGCCAGCCTTCTGGTTTAGTAGTCAAATGCCTTAAGCCCTATGCTCAGAGCTCCCAGTCACCTGGGGAGATTTAAAAGCGTGCCAATGCCAGGCCCCACCCTTAGGGATTATAATTCCATTGGCCTGGAATGGTGTTGGTTTACTGAATAAGATGGCAGACACAGATTTACCTGTGCTTACTTACTAATCTTTAGTAAACAATTTCACATTTTTTTACCACATCAAAAATTCTGCTTTAAGAGCAAAGAAGAATGAAGAAAACCAAAGACACATGGAAACAATTAGTCCAGGCTGCTGGTACACCATGTGATCCACAGCCTATATGACTATGAGACGAGAAGAACTAGATGGTGTCCAGTACCACTGTCAACCACTCTGAGGGAGATCTATGTAGGAGATCCTGATAGACAGGGAGAACAATGTGGAACAAAACTCAAAATCATTAAAAAAAATAAACACAAAAAACCAGACCTAGTTTGCTGGTCTGATAGAGCCTGATGGAACCATTGATACTATGGCCCCAGCTGCCCTTCCAGTCTGGAATTGAATTCACTCCTGTGGCTTCCAGCCAAACAAAAGACAGGCATATAAACTGAACATTTATAATAGATAGATACACTCCTTGGAGAGGTCAATCATGGGAGAATAGAAGGGCTGTGCATACACAGGGAGACAGCTCAGGGGGCAGGAGTGCATGGGAGGGAAGGACACAGGGAAGAGGTAACTATGGGGAGGAACTGGGAGGGGAACTGTTGCATTGTGGTAAATTGTAGTCAATGTCATGAGACAAAGTGTATGTGAACTGCTGTATGGAAAGTGAATTTGCTCTGTAAACTTTCACCCCAATCACAATTAAAAAAAAAAATCCGCTTCAAGGTATGGCTGGCATCTGTCTTTTTCCCAAGCCATAATACCTTCCTACAGAATCAAAATCTCTTCAAATACAATCCCTGACAGGGGTGGGAGTACCCAGTAAGCAAGGTAAGCATGGGTTTACTTGCGCTTATTTACTAATATGTAGGGGATAGTTTCAAATGAAATTGTTCACTACAGATCAGTAAGTAAGCACAAGTAAGCCTATGCTTACCATACTTATTGGATAATCTACCCCTGGGTCTAAGCTTTGCTGTAGTTCTAAAGGTTCCTGTGTGATTCTGTCGTACACTTAGATTCAAAAGAGTACAGGTGACAATCACTTTAAGGAAACCAAGTAGATTTGTGGGTAGAATTGTACATGAGTAAGATGGGTAAGTATTGAGGAAGTCAGTGATTAGTTAATGTCACACTCATCAGTGCAACAGAGCTGGACAAACAGGAATTTTTGTGTGTATTTCCTTCTACAATGTAGGGTTCATTCAAGGTTTGAAAGTCTTAAAAAAGAGTTTGTAGTGTTTGACAAAAATGAAATTTGAGACTGAAACAACACCTGCCATGACATCTGTGTCAGGGATTTGGTTGAGTAGCATGGCGGATAATCAAATGCACATATTCTTTTTCCTTCTAGGCAAGCTTGGGCCTTAGTTGGTGTCATTGATGGTGGAAGTGCTTCTTGCAATGAATCTGTGAGAAACTATGAAAATCATAGTAGTGGAGGGAAGGCTCTTGCCCAAGGAGAATTTTATACCATGGATGGTCAGAAGTTTGCTGTGACTGCTTATAGTGAATGGATTGAAGGTAGGAAAGCACAGTTTATGCTCTTATAAGATTATTGGTAAGTATTGTGAGAGACTTTTTCTATAAGTGGAATTGTATTCACCTGACAGACTGCTTGGTTAGGTTTCTCAACCAGTTGAGGGTGAAACCCTTAATTTCCTTACTGCCCTTGATCTTTGAGACTCGTGCATTCTTTCTGGGCTTCAGAGTGATTTGTTGTAGTTTGGACACCCCAGCTGGACTTGGTTTCTGATTCTTGAGTCATATGGTGGAGTTAACTAGCAGAAATGTATTTGTTTCCTGGCTTTGGTGCCAATGGAGCCATCTGGGTGTGATAGGGTGAGCTGTTTTTGGCTGTGCTCCATGACAGTGAGCATGATCTTGTACTTTGGATCTCCTCTTTATGTGGACATGTCACCAAATGTTACTTTCACACATGTTCTGTGTAAACAAACTTCTCATTTTCTTAACACTTTTCCCCCCCGGTGATCCAGCTAATACTTTTATCTTATGGACAAATTGAAAAACATAGAAAAGCACAAAGAAGAAAGTTAAAATCTTTATCATTCAGTAATAATTATTTTGGTGCATGACATTCTAATTGTTTATATATATATAAGAGCTCTGATGA